TTTGTTGATTTTAAACACACAAAATGTAATTTGTTTGTCTCAAAAATTAAATTGTTTAATGCCCGTAAATACTCATAAATAATCAATGCCAAAGCATGGCGTCAGTATCTCGCTTCGCGTATCAAATGCATGGGCCTTCCAACGCAGTTAAATGTACACACCCTCTGCGAAGAATGCTTGGACTCTATCTTACGTAACACGAGAGCATGCGTTCAAAGGTTCCCCTCAAAGAACAGCACTGATAGGCACCTTCCATTTGCAAGGCAAGCGAACAGCTTGTAAGAAAATCAAATATAACACCAAAAAACTGGAAAAAAAACATGTTGCTTTGTTTTTACTTCTCAACCCATATCTTTTGAGCATTCGATGCATGTGGCACATTTTACTCATAGATTTTACGTGCGGTATCAACATATTACTCGCATTTAAAAACCTCGCTTTATTTCAAACAAAAAGTCAAGCATAGTAGATCACGCATCGTCCAAAATATTAATACACAGGTTCGATTTACATTATGGAGTCATAACTGTACAACCTACACTACACAAACTCCCCACACCCTGTTTACTACTAATTTCGCTGGCCTTCTAGACTGAAAAACATTATCCAGAAATTCTGAACACTCTTTTCTGGATATATACACGAGTAAGGTGTTCTTCCAAACAAGTATTTTTTTAAGATTCCCTTGCCTAACAAGATTCTGAAAGCATTAATGCACTTTTTCGCAGTGGAACTTTGTTTTAATGAAATGTTTTGAGGTTAGATTACTTTAGTTCGCATATTTAACCTCGGCTTATGCGGAAGTGCCTTATGATTGTTGTTTTCGTTTCCATAATACCCAATGAGCAGATATTTTACAAGGTGTTAAATGTTATTTTCTGAAGACCGTTTACTGGTCCAAATATAATGCAGTTGGTGTAAAGATTTTCGAGATATAATAAAGTGTTCATATTACATTAATTTTCTTTCTCATCTGCATAATGCTCTGGTTACAGAATACTGGTTCTTATTGTGAAATCACGTCACAAGCCTAGTCAATTAAAGTGATAATAGAAATAATTTCGTTCACCAACACTCACACAAAACACAAAC